CCGAAACACTGACCCATAAAAACACACACTGAACCATACACACACAGACTGACCCATCTATACACACACAGACTCAATCAGAGACTGATCCACACAACCACACATTCTGACCCCTGCATACACACCCAGACTAACCCATACATACAGACTGACACATATAAACATACACGGACCCATACACATACAGATTTCCACATACAAAAACACACTGACCACTGGGGCGTGGCTTGACGCCGACAGAGATGGCAGCTTAGGCCCAGAGCTCCGCGCCCCGACTGACCCAAAACGCACAGTAACAAGCGACATACCCCTGGGAACACGACCACAAACTGCCTAAAGGACGAGGGAAAGCAATGGCCATGGTGGCGAATAAGAAGCAAGGCAAAAAACCCAAGGAAGGGGCTCCGTCAATGGCAGATATGCAGCATACGCAGAGGCCGCAAATAAACAAAGATGGCGCCGGCCCGGAGAGACCGGACTCCCCTTACATCACAGACGCCGGGAACTGAGACCGCCTACCACAACAAGCTGCACACAGCGAAATCCTCCAATCCTTGGCGGAGGTCAGGCATTTTCTGGCCGCGGAGATTGAAAAATCCGCCAAAGAAGTTAAGGCCGAGATTCAAGGGGTGGGCCAGCGAACGGAGGCCCTAGAGTGGAGGCTGGACCACGTGGTCGCGGTCCACAACAAAGCCGCCACAACAACTAATAATCTGCTCGCTAGGGTGGCGGAATTGGAAACCGAGGTTGAGGATGCCTCGAATAGATCGCGGAGGAACAAGTCAAAGGCCTCACAGAGAACGTCAAAGAAGCTGACTTGCAAAAAGTATTAATGAGGCTGTTCCACGCCCGTCTGCCCGATATTCCCGACCACCTGTGGACTCTGGACAGGGTACACAGGGCACTCAGGGCGAGGGGCCCCCCTGATGGACCTCCTCGGGACGTGATCATGCGATGGCACTATTTCACCACAAAGGAAGCCATTATAAAGAGCACCAGAAACTACACATACAAGTATGAAGGCACGACAGTACATCTCTATCAAGACATCGCACCCGCTACACTTGGGCACTGGGGCAAATATCCAGAGAAGAACCGGTACACCATAGAGACACTCCCTAGGACACCTCACTGGCGCTTTCTGCACGCAACGCACAACAGCGACACACTGGACTCCACATCACGACGAAACGGCTTCCACTAAAACTGTAACAGAGACTGAACACAACATGGACTTCTGATAAACAGGGAAAAAGAGAACACAACAGGGGAGAGAGAAGTGGAAGGGAGATAGGGAAAGGCAGGCAAAGTAGGAAGGGAACAAAAATGGCAGGGGGAAGGGATGAAAGATGGCAGGGAAAGACAAAGAAGGGGGACACACGAGACAGAGAGAAGGATAAGACAGAGAAGGACGGGGGAGGGGGGAGAAGGGAGGGGTTAAAAGAAAAAAAAAAGAGACAAAAAAAGGGAAGAAAACGTAAAAAAGGGGGGGAAAATAACTAACAAAAATACAAAAAATGCAAAAAGCACACAAAAGAAGGAAAAGGGGAATGACAGGACAAATGAAGAGGAGGAACCAAAGTGGAACACGGAGACAGGAACCCGAAAAAGGGAAAGAGACAGCGGTCGTAAGAGAAAAAGAAGGGAAGGTCTAGCGTAAAAGAGCAACAAGTTACAGAGAGGAAGGCACGGACAACTCCGACAGACTGAGGGCAAGTCTCTGGGACAGACAAGAGGGAAGGAAGCACTAATGGACATCATACTGCTAGGCACAGGAATAACGGCTTCCACCGCTCCACTCAACAACCGGGAGACACAGGGACCTCTACCGCATAATCCACGGGACAATGCAGCATCATACAGCCTGAACTATGACTACCCAGGCCTGCACGACCGATCACGCAAGTGCATACCCCCCCACCACCACTAGGTGTCATGGGGGCCAGCAATGGCTTTGGGTACTGACGGGGGTGACGGGTGGAGGACTGCTGTGGGGACGGACGCAGGGGGGACGCACCAAGATGCACTGACCCCTTGGGGGCGACTTTCCCACGACCCTCTGCTCCCTATCCCCCGCGGACAGCCCATACGGGGAACAAGCTTCCATTATACCCCGGGGGGGGCCCTACCCCCCCTTTCCCACCTCCCCCCCCAAAATCAGAGGGGGGGAACCCAGGGGACAGTTCAGGCTGCTCATGGGGACCCAAATGTCTCTGACGGGAAATTGCATGGTGCACATGATTGTCTGATTGCCTTTGCCTTTTCCTTTGTCGGACTCTATTCTTGCTTGCTCCTTGAAAATGTCCTGAATTTGACAAAGCCTTTGTTCAGAGTTGTGTTCAGGTTACAGAAGAAACAGTATACACAGGTCAAAAACCGACCCACAGACACTAAGATCCCAGGGATACACGTCCACATCCTAGATACAGGGGTCAGCCACGGGGGGCTAGGCGATTAGACGATCTAACTCCCACTCCGCGCAGCTGATCTCACTAGCGGAGAGAACAGCCACCCCCAAATAGACTCGGCACTTATAAGACCAGGTCCCGACCCTAAAAACTTACATACCCCACACGACCCCACCAGGCAGGAGACCAAACCCATCCCTAGCCCCGCACCACCCCCACCCGAGGTCGCCGGTGCTCCTCTCCCCCCCACTCCCTCCACACCCCCCATTCTTCCACCCCTCGTCCTCTGGAGGCTGGGGGGGGACACTACCCGGGGCACACAAACATATTCCCCCTGACACCGCACCATCAGGGGGCATGCGCGGCGGGCCAGATTAGACCCCGACTCGAACGGACAGCAGAAAGAGGACACAGTTAGGAAAGGGTTGTACAACATGGCCTCAATCAAACTCACCTCCCTTAACGTTAATGGCTTAAACACCCCAACCAACAGACGGCTTTTAACGAGGGAACTAAAAACGGCAAAACACCGACATAGCGTTTATACAGGAGACACATCTCGTGCATTCGGCCCACATTCAGCTAACAGACCACTTATACACCAGAACATACTCCTCACAGGGAACGACAAAGAAAAACGGGGTAGACATACTAATCCACAAAAGATGTCCGTTTATGACTCAGAGTATGCAGACGGACAATATGGGCAGGTAAGTTATCTTAACGGGCACGATTTTTAACACCACATACCATCTGATTAACTTATACGCGCCCAATCATCCTGACTCAGACTTCTGGGACCAGCTCCACAGTCAAATACCATCACTGCCATTTGGCGTAACGGTCCTGGGGGGGGACTACAACTCCACACCTTGTCCGGCAATAGATCGCAGTACCCCACAGGGGGGTGGTAGGGCAAAGGGGGGAGGGAGACAAGACAAATTATTGGCCAAATTTATACAGCAAATGAAACTACTCGATCCCTGGAGACTGCAACACCCCGGGCTTAGGGATTATACATTCTACTCGGCGGCTCACTCGACGTACTCCCGCATAGATATGTTCCTAGTCAATCAGGGAGGGATTCCATGGATCCAGTCCGCACGAATAAATCTTATCACATGGTCCGACCACGCGGACGTCGAACTTATAATACGATTGCCAGGTCCCAGCCCCCCATGGAAATGGAGACTTAGGGACACACTAATTAAGGACCCTGAGGTAATGAAACAAATACAAGACGAACTGAATGTTTACTTCACCACGAATGATACGCCCGACGTGTCACAGACAACATTATGAGCCGCCCATAAGGCGGTGATCAGAGGGACCCTAATCAAAATAGCAACTAGCCGAAAGAAACTGAGAGCGGAAACCCTATTCGAGCTCCAGAAAGAGCTGAGAAGGGCGGAAACCAAACACAAACAGTCGCCCACAACTCAGGGTCTCAGAGCGCTTAGGGACCTGCGGCACAAGATAAGAAACACAGCCATAGAAGAACTAGGCAGGGAGTTGGTCTGTAAAAAACGTCTTTATTACGAACGGTCCAACAAAATGGACACCTTACTAGCTAGGGCACTGACCCCAAAACCGAAATACCACAACATAACAGCGCTTAAGGACGCGGGAGGGCGGATAACACATAACCCTATGGAGATTAACCAGATCTTCACAGAGCTTTTCTCTAAGATTTACAATCATTCCCCGGAGCTCAACGGGAACAACAGGATCTATGACCATGTGGTCAGGGACTTTGTCGCTAAAACTAACATACCCACGTCCAGCCCAGAAGTCATGTTAACGCTGGGACTGCCCATAGACGAAGAAGAGATAGATAGGGCGATATCAGAGCTAAAAAGCAACAAAGCCCCGGGGCCGGACGAGAGACACTGACACCCCGCCTCGCAATAGTGTACGTGGAGTGGATGGAGGGCAGGCCGCCGAACCCAGACACACTCACAGCAGACATAACACTCATCCCCAAACTGGGGAAGGACCCAACCGATGCGGCAAATCACCGACCCATTTCCTTAATTAACTTCGACGTGAAAGTATTCGCAAAAATACTGGCGACTTGGCTAAACCCCCTTTTGACGACCATGATCCATGCTGATCAGGTCGGATTCGTCCCAACACGACAGCTATATGAGAACACGAGGCGGGGCGCAGATGTCATCTGGTGGGCGAACAAAACTAGGACGCCTTCTCTGATCCTGTCTCTAGACCCGTAGAAGGCGTTCGACAGGGTACTGTGGTACTATCTCTTCACACTATTAACACATCTGCAGATGCCAGAGCCCTTCGTAAGAGGGATAGAGGCCCTCTACGCAGACCCCAGAGCACAGACAATGGTGCCGGGGGCGCCCCCAACCCCCTTCCGACCCAACAATGGTACCAGGCAGGGATGCCCCTTGTCCCCCCTGCTTTTCATTATAGCGCTAGAGCCCCTGCTACATCAAATACGTGGGGCCGAGGGCATAGAGGGAATCCGGGCCGGGGAGGAGGAGTATAAAGTATCCGCATACGTGGACGACATTATGATTATGATGTCCAGCCCTCAGCACTCGCTCCCTCGACTCCTGTCACTATTAGACGAATACGCATATGTCTCCGGCTACAAAATTAATATGGGAAAATCGGTGGCTCTGCCACATGGAATGGACCCAAGGGCGATTGAAGGCCTACGCACCGCACATACATTCACCATTGCGAAAACCAACATTAAATACTTGGGCGTTAGGCTCACTGCAGATCCGGACAAACTATACTCCGAGAATTACACCCCTAGGATACAATCACTGTACCGAGATATAGAAAAATGGCAGGAAAAAACAATTTCCTGGATAGGCAGACTCCACGCCATAAAGATGACGCTGCTTCCCCGCCTGCTGTTCTTGTTCCAGGCACTACCTGTAAAAGTCACCAAGCAAGACTTAATGCCATTACAATGAACCATTGACAAGTTCATCTGGGCACAAAAACGTCACCGCATAGCCAGACAGGTACTGTACCGCCCAAAAACAAGGGGAGGATTGGGGCTCCCAAATTTCTATTGTTACTACCTAGCGGCGCAACTGGCCCAGGTGGTAACGTGACACTCCCGGGCGTGTTCCCACAGGTGGGTAGAACTAGAAACACGCCTGATGTGTACAGACCTACCACAATTTTGGATCTGGGTACCCAAACAAGATAGACCATCCCTCCGCACCACATGCCCAGCGATACTTAACACAATACGAATCTGGGACCTCACGGCCGACAAACACACCCTAAAACATACACCGTCCCCGATGACCCCATACCTCCACAACGGGGCATTCGAGCCTGGGCTGAGCGCACAAGACTTCCAAGGCATTGAGAACATGGGGGTACAGAGATATGCCCATCTATATGACAAGGGAACCTTTAAAACGTTCGAACATCTGAAAACCCTCGCCCCCCTGACCACAAAAGACGTATTCAGATACATACAGCTTAAAGACTTTGCCAACAGCCCAGAGGTCAAAAGGGCAGCGCACATGCCCATGACATTTTTCAAACGATTGTGCAACGCTGAAGTCGAACAGAAGAGACTGATTACACTCCGACACGCACACCTAAGTGCCCCAGACAAAAGCACCACGGACCCCAGATATATTAGACAGTGGGAGACGGACCTGGGGGTAGAGCTTGAGGGTGAGGACTGGGTGGATATATGGGAGGCAACAGCAAAGACATTGATCTGCGTACTACACCAGGAACAATCATATAAAATGTTGATGAGATGGTACACCACACCAGTACAACTGTATAGGATGGGAAAAACCACGACAGACACAT